TGGGGATTTGTTTTTTTTTTTTTTTCCAGGTATTTTAGAAAATATTCTTGCTATAGTGGCTTTATGAAAACCAGCATTGGAATGAGTTCTCTGGCTATTTTAAGAGCTGCTGTTCTTATTTTTTTAATTTTTTTTTTATTTTCTAGAGTAAATTAAACCTCCTTACAAATTGCTTTTCAAAATAGTGCTTTCAGGGATCAGAAGTATTTTCCCAGATCGCCAGTAAATGAATCTCTTCTCCTTATGCGGAGCTCTTAGTTTCCTCCTGTTCGCTTTTCTCTGTAGCTAAAATGGGAAAGTATAAAGGAATGGCTGTTTTGACAGGTGTGAGCCTTCCCTCCCTGCCTTCTGCCCTCCCCTTTTCCTCCCTGCACAGTGAAGTGAATTATTCCAGCTGATAGCAGTTCCCCTCAGAGCAGAAGCCCCTGTGTGCTTGAGAACAACAGGTAGACAGAGATGAGCGGTGGTTAATACCTCCATTCTCTCCTAGCAAGTTATGTTATGATTAACTGAGCCAAGACTCTGAAAGCCCACCCAGGCAGTTTGAAAAAGCTTGTGAGTGCATAGGGGAGTCTATTTAAATACATAGAATAAAAATTATATACCCCCACAGAATAAACAGCAAATACAGTTTGTAATTTTAAATAACACACCAGCGTCTGAAATGCCACTTTCTCTGTTAAATTTTGCTTAAGAGCTTGCGGATCAAAGGAAATTGTGAATTCCAAAGTAATCAGATGCCTTCCTAGGAATCCCAAGAGTGCCTTATCAGCAGACAAAAATGGAAATTCGTTGAGATGGTACTGAGTTTAGTATGGAGGATTGCACTTTGATCTTAACTGGTCTTGTTGGTTCATTTATTCTTTCTAAGAAGTGTGCAGGTCTGCTGAGGCTGTGTGCTAGTTGTTGGGATGCAAGCATGAGCTGCAGAGACTGTGGGGCCTGTGTGAAGGCTGAGGTCCTCTAATGGTGGAGATAGGTGATAGCCAAGTGGTCAGATGGGCTTCCCGCCCCAGATCAGGAGGTGGGTGATGCAGATCAGGCGTGAAGATCAGGCTTGGAGGGACCAACAAGAGTTGTGGCTTGGGTGGGGAGGGGCTACGTGTGCCTGGAACCGACCATGGTTTGAACAGGGTGCAGGGAGGAGAGGAAGGGGAAGATGGGGCCAAGGGGTGGGAAGGAATTCGTTTAGTTTGAAGAGCAGGCGGAATGGGAATGGCTGGCACGCTGTGCGTGATTCCAGTGTTGATCAGAGCCTAAGTGTAAACTATCTTGATTTAGTATTCTTATGTACGCAGTGTAGATGGATGTGTATATCCTGGGATGTAGGTGGCTAAGGACAAAGCAGTATCTATCCTCTGCTCCAAATACTCCGAGGCCCTCAGAGTTGATGATTCTACACCTTGCTGTCCCTACCTTGCAGAAGCCATTTAATCTTTACCTGCCAGGCAGCCACGGATGGGCTCAGGTGGCACAGAGGTTGGTGTGTGGGCTCTGTTTGCCCTGCGTGGAGAGGCTGTTTCACAGAAACTTGCTTAGTCCTTGGATTCTAGATGGGAATTGGCACGGAAGTTGGGTCTTCCTGCTGGTTTGTGAGTTTCCTGACCTCTCTTAGTGTCTATTGTCTTTAGTCCTCTCTAAGGCCTGTGTCACCCACTTGACCAGAGTTGAGAGGACCCCACTGAGGGAGTCGGAGGGACATTTTGCCGTGCAGCGTCAGCACTTCACAGGGCTTCACAGAGGAGGTGTTCATCGTTGGAGCGCCTCCTGCCTGCTTGGGGAGGGTTGGAGTTGGTGGGGCAGGTGCATTGGCAGACTTCTGTGGTAGAACCAGGAGCCTAAAGCCGCATAGACCCGGCGGGCGTGGCAGTGGTGTCCCTTTCTCAGGGAGCTCACTTTGGCATGGTGGAGCCAAACTGGGTCAGGATAGCAGAATCAGAGCCATCCAGGACATCCACATGCCGATTGTCAAGTTAAGTACTGGAGCGAGCCCGGGAGGCTATGGCACAAATAAACCAACGGGTACTCTGAAGAGGCATGGCATGCTTTGTGCCCCTCAGAAGAATTTGCTTGATTTTTTGTTTTCCTTTTAGACACACACATACACAATTATCTTGACTGAGCTGGGTGTGGTGGTGAACCCCTAAAATCCCAGCTACTTGGGAGGTGAGGCAGGAGAACTGCTTAAGCTGAGGGGTTGGTTCAAGGCCAGGCTGGGTAACATCGTGAGGCTTTGTCTCTAAAACCACCCCTCCCCAAGACAAAACAACAATGAAAATAGCAACTTCCTATTACTAAATGCTTTTGGAGTTAAAAAAAAAAAAAGCTGCTATTAATTAAGTGCCTCCTGTGTACCAGGAACTATTTTAAGTGTTTTCTTGTAAAAGCTGCTTCTGTTTGTTTTACAGAAAATGAGACCCAGAGAGGCTAATGCCTTTCACAAAGTCGGTCAGGACGCAGTCAGGCTAGGTAGAGCTGGGAACCGGCCCCAGAGTTCTGTAGCAGTCTGCTACGGGCTCCTGCTATCATGTTCTTTCCTGGGGCTTTTCACAGGAAAGCAAACCTAATTTCCCTTTAAATATTTCCTGGGCTTGCTCTCAGGAGACAAATACTTGCTGACCAGCCCCATGAAAGTCATGTGAGATGCTGGGGGGAAACAGTTAAGGCCTTGAAGCAGGCAAAAGTGGAGGGGGGAGAACCAGGCCACGAGACTGTGGCTTTGGGCTGATAGCCCCTGGTGCCTGATACTGGCTCAGGCCTCTTTTTGTTTGCTCCTTTCTACCCTGACCAGATAGCAGCCATCTTGCATTTCCCCTTGACCACACTGAGGCAGGCTCTGGGACAGCCCTGGGGACGGTCCTTTCTCCTGGGTTGGATCCCTATCCCTGAGCGTTAGTGTCTTTGTCCTGAGGATGTTTGGCCGCTGCTTCTTGAGATCCCAGCAGAAAGGCAGCTTTTGGGATGTTGGAGAAGCTGCTGGTACCACCAGCTCCCTGAGAGAGGAGCTAGATGTTTTGGTGGTGTTCAGTTTCAGTGTGTGTCTCCATCCAGTGTCACTGAGAGTTGCAGTCAGTGTGTCCATGGATGTGCCTTATTTCTCCTGGGTCTTTTCCTCTTAAAATACAGGGAATTCGTTGCCAGCTGTGGAAGGGGATGAAATAGAGTGTAAGAGGCCCATTGTTGCTGTTTCTCTTCACAGCGTGGGAAGATCCAGCCCCGGGTCTGTCTTTGGGTAGAAGCTGAGCTGAGGCTTCTTCCTTTCTGTGACTGGACATGAGGTTTTGGCTTCCCTGAGGGCTAATTTGCTTCCAATGATTTGGTGCTTGTCTTTAGCTTGTGGACTGTGAAACTCAAAAGGCCTCCTTGGAGAAGCTTATTGCCATCAGTTTCCAGCCACAACCTAGATCGAGGCTGGGGAGTCAGAAATGGTGGCCAAGGTGTGTTCTGAGGTCCCTGCACCTGCTCCACTGTCATCTGCAGTGGCAGGTGTGGCGCTCCCAGCTCCTCCTGTAGTCACAAGGGCCACGGCTTCTGGAATAGTGACCGCTGCTATTTTTTTGCTCTCAAGTCCCTGCAAAGTTTGGTGAGGTGTGGACCCTCGGCAGCAGGAGGAAGACAGAACTGGCCTGGAGTGGGAGGTGGGAAGTGGAGGCTGTGGCCGAAGGGCCGCTTTGTAGTGAATCCTTCTGAATCATCCCATATTCGGAAACATGTACCTCTTTCTAGGAAAGTGGGTTTCTAGAGTTTCCTGCCAGGTCTGCTTAGAACTGTGATGAGAAAAAGAAGCCCTGGGGCCAGGGATTTATTTAGGTCAGTGGTTCCGCAGCCTGCCTCGCAAGTGCAAGGATCTGAGTTCAATCCCTGATACCAAAAAAGAAGAAAAAAAAAAAAAAAGAAGAATGCCTTCTGAGTCTGTGTTCAGCTGAGTGAGATGTGGGGAATAATTCTCTTTCCAGAGGTGCAGTCCAGGATGCTGTGACTGTTTTCTTACTGTGTAGTAGCTGAGAACTAGAGGAGGTTTAGTGGATTTTAAAAAAGGATTAAAATGACCTAAGTCAATCGAGTCTTTTAGGTCTTCCCTGAGTTTTGTTACTCGTGTTCTGTGGCAGAACATGGTTAAGTGGGTCATTCATTAACCATCCAGACCAAGTCGTTTATTTAAAAAGAGGATAAGTATTTAAGAATTTTGGCAGACCCGCTCGGATAATTTGGTTTGCGTTAAGAAAAATAACAATCATGGAAATTACTAAAGTTGACTTGTACTCTTTCTTTTTTGCCCTTCTAGGGCTTGGGTTCCAATAAATAATTGCTACCTCATGTCTAAAGAAATCCCTTTTTCTGTGAAAAAGACGAAAAGCATCTTCAACAGCGCCATGCAAGAAATGGAGGTTTACGTGGAGAACATCCGCCGGAAGTTTGGGGTTTTTAATTACTCTCCCTTCAGGACGCCATACACGCCCAACAGCCAGTACCAGATGCTGCTCGACCCCGCCAACCCCAGCGCCGGCACCGCCAAGATCGACAAGCAGGAGAAGGTGAAGCTCAACTTCGACATGACGGCGTCCCCCAAGATCCTCATGAGCAAGCCCATGCTGAGCGCGGGCGCCGGCCGCAGGATCTCCTTGTCGGACATGCCGCGCTCGCCCATGAGCACGAACTCCTCGGTGCACACGGGCTCCGACGTGGAGCAGGATGCCGAGAAGAAGGCCCTGTCCAGCCACTTCAGCGCCAGCGAGGAATCCATGGACTTCCTGGACAAGAGCACAGGTCAGCGCGGGGCAGCGCGGGCGCGAGGGCGGGGGCGCTCGGACATCAGCCTGCGGTCCCGGCTGCCGCCCCTCGGACCCAAGCAGGGACTAAGCCAGGGCTTCTGCTTCCGCCGGGCAGGGTTTATAGGAGTTCGCGGGTGGTTTGGGACCCCAAAATGAGGAAAGTTTCCCGAAAGCTTGCTGGAAGGTACTCATTTATTTATTTTTCAAATTTTTTATGAATATGTGTGTGAGGTATGGAATGATTACGTTCATCTTAGGGAGTCAGTAATTAACATATTTTAATTCTTGTTTTTCTTCTTACCATCTCCTCCTTTCCTGTTCCCTCCATTTCTGCAGCCCCTTCCCATTTGCAAAAGATCTCTCTCTCCCTGTTTTCTATTGTTTATCGTTTTATTTCATTTTTTAAAAAAAACGTTGCTTTAGGTTTCTCACATGAGAAGTTATGCCATATTTACGCTTGTGTGAGTTATTTCATTTAACATGATATTAAGAACATGCATTCATTTTCCTATGGGTGACTCATTTATTCTTCTTTATGGCAGAGTAGTACTCCATTATGCTGGTGTGTTTGTTTGGTACCGGGGATCAAACTTGGGTCCTTGCATTTGCAAGGCAGGTGGCAGAACCACTGAGCTACATTCTTGGCCCAAAAGTTTTTTTTTTTTTTTTTGTACTAGGGATCAACTCAGGGCCTTGTACTTATGAGCTAGGTGTGGTGTGACTGTGATAAAAACTTTTTAATAAAATGAGATCGTAATTTTTTTTTTTTTTTTTTTTTTGTGATACTTCCTGTGTGATTGGAGTTTTGTTCATAAAGTCTTGGCTTATACCAATGTCTTCAGGAGTTTCACCTATTCTATCTTCCAGCAGATTTAATATTTCTGTTGGTTTGTGGAGTCTTGACTATTATATGCCTTAATATAGAATTTTTTTTGATCATGGCTAATTGGAGTTCTATGTGCCTCACTTATGTGTATCCCAAATTCTTTTTGTATGCTTGGAGAGCATTTTACCATTGTGTCTGTGAACAGGCTTATGTCTTTTGCATTGTCTCCTGCTTTTTCATTGGTTTTAATCTGTATTATGTTATTCTTTTTTGCATCATCTAGCAGCTGTTGGGTCGATTTTTCATGGTTCCCTTGCTATTAAGGAATATTTCTTTTCATGTTCACTAACCACAGACCTGTCTTTTAGATGATATTCTGTCCTCCCATCGGGTCATTCTGCTGCATATACTTTTTTTTTGTACTGGGGATCAAATTTAGGATCTTGTGCTTGTGAGACAGGTACGGTGCCAATGAGGTAAATCCCTTGGCATCAAGAGAATTTTTAATCCCTTGAATTTACAGTTTGAATGTGTTTCATGAGGCTTCCATATCTTTCCTGTGTTGGGCATTCATGGTTTTCATGGTTTTCCTAAGCTTCTCTATTTTTGTCTTAATCTGTATCTGTTTTAGAGTCACTAACCACGGCTTTCATCATGTTCATCATCTCTGTAGTTAACTGAGAATTTTTTTTTCTGAGAAATTATTTCTGATTTGATTTTTTTCTTAGAGCCTCTTTCATCTGCCTTGTTACCTCTGTTGTCACTTCAGAGTCTCCAGGTCTGTGGGTTTCAAATTTTTCTACCTCATTGCCCCTTGGGTTTTGCTTTTGGTGAGTTGGAAGTCTGGGGTTGCCTTTCTTTTTGAGACAGGGTCTCACTATGTAGTTAGGATTTATCTGGAACTCACCATGTAGCCCAGCTGGTCTCGAACTCAGTGATCCTCCTGCCTCAGCCTCCTGAATGCTCGGATTATAGGTGTGTGCCACCACACCACACACAAGGGGTTGCCTCTTGTTTAAGAAATTTCTTATCAGGTTGGGGATTTAGCTCAGTGGTGCTGCCACCTGCTTCACAAGTACAAGTTTCTGAGTTTGATCCTTGGTAGAAATGAAAAAAAAAAAAAAGAGAGAGAGAGAGAAAGAAATGTCTTGTCATTTTTTATTCATTTTTATTTTAATTCCTGGGTTGATGCTTGTTAGTTGTATTAGGCAGGTAGCTTTATTTCTACTATTTAGAACCCTTAGGAAATAATTAGTTCTCAAAGATGCCTTCCAGGAGTAGCTGGCTTTTGAGTTTTGAGTCTGTTGCAAGGTCCTATCTCTTCAATTTATTGAGACAGGTGCAGTGCCACAGAGCTAAATCCCTAGCCCTCTTCACTTTATTGGGGGTGAGAAGTTGCTGTCAAATGGCTTAGGCTCTGGTTCTTGGCCCTGACCTATAGTATTATTTATGACCTTTAGGTAATCTCAGTCTTGGTTTACCAGGAACTGATTGATTAGAACAATCATGTCACCTTGGCTAAGGTAATACAATCAACAGTAACAGTAGCAACAAATGCTGCCTAAAAAATGATAAATTATTTTAACTATTGATTTCCTACCTTTAAGCCTATGAACTAGATTTGTGTAATACAATCTAAAACAAACTAGAAAATTGTATACAGTAAACACGCCCTCAGTCTGAAGATTTTACCCTCAAGGGAGAAAATTTAAAAGGGATTAGGAGGAAAAAAAATAGAGAAATAGAAGAAAAGGGAGAGATTAGAAGCAAGAAATAAAAATAGGAATAGAACAACAATTACCAAAGAAACTAGAAAGAATGTTCTCACATAAAAACAAGAACAATCAAGAAAAAAGAAAGTGAAAGAAAACAAAAAATGAAAAAACAAAACAAAACACCAAAAACTAAAAAGTGTGTCCACTTCAAGGCATGTCTCTGCTGTCAGTGGTAGACAAACTAGGAACATAGAGCCCAGGTCCATGCTGATTAATCTCAACAAGCCAGCCATAGATTTATGTCAGGGTAGTGTATAATCCCAGCAAGCCTGCACCTTTAGTTCTGAAACTCAAGCTGGTTTCTGCCTGTTTAACCTGCAACACTGTGCCTCTCCTGCTGGCTTGAATTTGGCTCCTTGACCTTCTACTGACTTCAGCTGGGTTCTGCCTTACCCGGCTGGAACTAGAAACAGTGTTCACACGTATAAAAACAAGAACAAACAAGAAAAAAAAAAAAGGAAGGAAAGCTTCCTGCTCATTTGAACTTGGTTCTGCCTCACCCTGACACTGGGAGCCACTAGGTGGAGCCAGCCCACAGCTGCTCTGATTTCCAAGCACAACCATCTTATCTCTCCAAGATGGCTACTGGCCAGTCGCCCTCTCCTGGGGGAACGTCTGAATCTGAATAACCCAACAGCTGCTGCTGTCTGCTGCGTCCTCTGCTGTTCCATGGAGGCCTCTGGGGTCGCCAGCCGTCACTGTGAGTCTGTAGTTTGCAGGCACCTCTTCTAGGCTGTGAGTTGGACTTCAGGGAGACAGAGCTGCTTGTCACTGCCTTGTTCTGTGTTGTGGTCCCTCTTGATTCCCTGTGGCCGTCAATTCTCACTTCAGATCCTTCTGGCTTCCGGGGATCCTCTTCTCTCCTTATTTTCCTCACATTTTTCTATTCCAGTGTCTAGACACCAGTTCTCCAAGAGGCTGTTTCTCTGCTGTTCACCGCTCCACCACCTTCCCAGAAATCCTCCAAATTGTCTTTATGCTGTGGCCATCCGCAGGGTTGGATGAGAAAGAGTGCCAAGGGCCTCTGTTCACACTGGAGATCTGAAATGTTTATTTGTAGGTCAGGAGCTCACTGTAGTGCCCCGGGCGAGTCTGTCAGGATGCGGATGAGTCTGTGATGGAAAGATGAAGAGTATACTGGAAGGGTGAAGGTCTGCGCCGGAAATGAATTTTATGTTAAATGAAGAATTTCTCCATACATTCACATTAACCACTCAAATGTTAGAGCAAGCTGTACAGTAAAAACTAATGCAGGCAGACTCTGGAGTTCAGCCTCTTTTACAGGGTCACCTTGTTAGAGTCTTGTGTCCTATTTTAGAGACAGGCTCTCGCGGTGAGGACAGGGATGCGGTGGTCAAACTCCACCACTTAACTGGGGATGTGGCTTTGTGCAAGGCCCTTGATGCCTTTGTGCCGAAGTTTCCCCACTTGTAGTGTGATAACCATAACAGCCTACCTCATAGGTTCTTGGAAGGATAATATGAATCCATACATAAAAGCCTTAGAACCATGCATAAAATACAGGAGCAAGTGCTGCGAAAATGTTGGCTTCTGGGCTTTTTCTCCTGGTGATTTCTCTTCAGATACCTTCATGGGTCAGAGCACTGATACCATTGAGGGATGTTGGCTGAAAATCACAAAAGTAATGGTGATTTTTATTTATTTATTTATTTTTGACAGGGTCTTACTGTGTAGTTGAGACTGACCTGGAACTCACTATGTAGCCCAGGCTGGCCTTAAACTCACAGCGATTCTCCTGCCTCAGCCTTCTGAGTGCGAGGATTACAGACCTGCGCCACCGCTCCCAGCTCCCAGTATTGGTGATTTACATAGAATTCTTTCTACCCAAACAGATTGGGCCACATGTTCAGTATTTATCAATAATAATGGTTTTGCTCTCATGGTCCTTGATACATGCTCTTCCCAGTTCTTTGTGTTCCACTTCTGAGAGACCCGACACAGGAGCTTCTGCTGAGCTTGGTGAGAAGCTGCAGCGAACCTTCCGGCTCTGGGCAGCTGAGAACCGTGGTGTTTGTAGAGAAGGTGGACTCAGGGTCTTCTGATCTTAACGTTCTTCCAGAGAAGTGGGAGATCTGGATCTTATCTTTTTGGGTAGGGGTGCATGGTAGTGAATCTAGCATTTTTGCACCAAGCTACCTCCGCACTCCTTTTTATGGTTTATTTTGAGTCAGGGTGTTGCTAAATTGAACAGAGTGGGCTGGAACTTGAGACCCTCCTGCCTTAGCTTCCCAGGGGCTGGGGTTACAGGCCTGTGCTACTACACCTGACTGGGAGGTGAAGGTTTTTATTTAAACTGCTAATTACTAAATATCAGACCCCCGAATGTCTTGAATTGTTTTCTAGAGTGGAGGAAGCACACCTGTGGGTTGGGCC